GGGGGGGGGGGGGGGGGGGTGGCACCCCCAGGTCCAGATCGGGGTCACCGCTCCTGCGTCTCCAGGGCGACGCCCACGTGCGCGTGGCGGATGGTGCGGCCGTGCAGCTTGTAGCCCTCCTGCTTCACCACCGAGATGGTGCCGGGCACAGCGCCCTCCGCCGCCACGTGGCACACGATCTCGTGGTCGTAGGGGTCGTAGCGCCCGCCCACGGGCCTCATCTTCTCCAGGCCGTGCTTGGCGAAGACGCCCTGCAGCCTCTCCTGCACCAGCGCCAGCCCCTCGCACAGGCGCTGCAGGGAGGGGCCGCGGCCCCCGGGAGCCTCGGCCGCCACGCCGCTGGCCGTGCGCTCCAGGATGTCCGCCACCTCCACCAGGTCGCGGCAGAAGCTCTGGATCCCTGCAAGGCGGAGGGAGAGCACAGCCTGTGAGACAAGGCCGGGGGGGGGGGACCCACTGGCCCGAGGCCGGGCTCAGCCAATCAGCTCTTATTCTCTCTCTCGCTCTTTTGCGACAGGCGCGTCTGCACCCTTCCGGTTCGAGTCATCGACACGGACAACCCAGCCGAGTTCAGAACGACAAAGGATACAGAGAGCCTAGGATGCAAGAGGAAACTGCATTTAAAATGGAGGACAGGAGGCGTTGCTTTACGCAAAGGGTGGCGGGGGAGTGGAACGAGCTGCCCAGCCACATGCTTGAAGCCGATACCTTGGCTTACTTTAAGAAACAGCTGGATGAGATGCTGCGATCAATGAACTGCTACCAAAGGGTCTGGATGGGCCGAATGGGGTTAGAAAGAATCAGCACTGAAGAGTGAATTTCAAACCACAGTAAAAGTGAAATGTACACAGTAAACTTCCAATTTATATCACAGAATAGGTCTTACTTCCAGGTAAGTGCAGCGCTATATTCTGAGATGAGGCAACAAAGCTTCCGGTGAGGTGAAGCACCTTATAACATTGTAAACATCTGTTTAATCCAACAGAAATACTGCTTTCCATTTCGAGACTCTGCATGCAGATCATGTTGGAACATTTCTGCAGTGAAATGTCTGCTACACAACCTGTACTTATGTGCTCGTACATCACAGTACACCAGTCATTACAGTGACCAGTGAGCAGGAAGGGAGCTTGAATGCGAGTTTGCAACAACATTGTGACTTACAGTACTTTGACAAAGGTTACAATTTTATGCTTAATTTGAAATGTGCAAAATTTGTCTGTGACGTCAATGAATTCATTTTGTTCCCGAGATTTAAGGACCAGTCTGAGAAATGATGACTGCGGTTCCCCTTTAAAAGGCTCCACAGGATCAGCCTGAGCAGAAAGGCACCACCCTCGCCTGCCACCTCTTCAAGGGGGAAAGATGAATAAGTGCTTCCTGAAAAAAAAAAAATCAATCTGCTTACCAAACAGCTTGGCGTCCTCAACAAACTTCTGAGTCCTCCTCCGAACTGTATCGGAATCTGCCAAGGCCTTCTGGTAACGCTCCTAGAAAACAAAACGTTTTGACATTCAACCACACAAAAACAACATCTGCTCAGTCTCACACCCTGATTCTCCCCAGGCAGGCAGCACAACTGAGCTGAGAAGTCGACAATCAAAAGGACAATCTTTCCTGTTCCCAGAAGACAGGGGGCTTGAGAAACCCAGGAGACTGCAATACATGAATATTAAATCATTTCATTCTCTGCTCAGGCCCATGCAAATAAGTGCTTGAAAGCAGGGGTTACATTAGAAGTGTGTCTTCCACCAGCACTTAAATGATTATAATAATATTAATAATAATAATATAAGTGCGTTTCTGGACACTGCAGCACTTTACAGGTAAAGGGAATCCCCTCCACCACCACCAGTGTGCAGTACCACCTGGATGACGTGACGGCGGCCATAGTGAGCCAGAACGCTCACCACACATCAGCTCTCAGTGGGGAGGAGAACAGAGTGATGAAGCCAGTTCAGAGATGGGGATTAGTAGGAGGCCATGATTGGTAAAGGCCAGGGGGAAGTTTGGCCAGGACACTGGGGGTAATATTCCTATTCTTTTTGAAACATGCCCTGGGATTTTTAAAATCCACAGAGAGGACCTTGCTTTTTTAACGTACAGTGTCCCCGTCACTATACTGGGGCATTAGGACTCACACATACCGCTGGGCGAGCGCCCCCTACTGGCCCCACTAACACCTCTTCCAGCAGCAGCCTCAGCTTTCCCAGGAGTCTCCCATCCAGGTACTAGCCAGGCTCACACCTGATGGGCTTCAGTGGGCTGCCAGCCCCCCCCCGCCCCACCAGGCCGAGCGCTGGGCTCTTACAGTGAGGTCGCGGACTTGCTCCTCCAGTTTGCTGGACCTGATCTCCAGCATCCTGATGGTCAGCGCCTGGGTCTGCTCTTCGGGGGCGTCGTCCACGTGGCACTCGTCGCCTGTGCTGCGCTGGTGGGCCGCGGTGCTGTACAGACACAAGGGGGCACTGTGGAGACAGGGGCGGGGGGGCAGGCAAGACACAGATCACTCAAGAGACGCTACTTCAATTCGGAGCAGAACAATTCCTGGGCCACGGACATTTCCCCCTTATTCCCACATCACCCGGGAGCTGCCCAGCACAAAACACTGGCGAAGAATAGAGAAAACATCACAAACTGAAATGGATCCAAGCTTGATGCTGAAGGTGCTGCTCCCACATGAAAGCGTTCACACCCTCGATTCCGACTGTCTGGGCTTGAGCGGAAACCCGCCGGAGCCGCGGGCAGGACTACGGGCGCAGCCAAGAGGTGCGGGTAGAGAGGGCAGCCCCTACCACCTCTTGGCCCAGCGCCGAGAAACGAGAACACCGCGATCTCGCGCCCCGAGCATTTCCAGAACCCCGATTACCCCCCCCCCGCCTGCTGATCCAGACACCCCGCTGTGGCAGCGGCACCGCTGGGGACAGGAGCCCCCCTAGCACCCAGGGGTGCAACACCAACACGCCCTCCCTGGGTGACTGTCAGCTCGGCGGATGGGATGTCTCCAAAGTGGGGGGGTTGCGGACCCCCAAGGTAATCCGCAGCCCCCACACAATTCCGACTGCCCCAGACCCAGACACCCACGTCAAGCTCGGCGCCGGCTGCCCCCCCACAGGCTGACGCAGAGAAACAGCGGGCCAGCGGGGAGCGTGCAGACAAGGAAGTGGGGCAGAAGCGGTCTGCGCGGCGCGGTTGTCAAGGGTCATCGCAGGCCGGGCAGGGCGTCCTGCCAGAAGGAGGAAGGAGGAAGCTGCACGCGAGACGACACTGCAGCGCAGGGTGCTGAGCTCATGCTGCCGCTGCCCTCGCGGGGGCAGGACTCATTCCTGTAAATCACACGCCAGCGAGGCAGCAGGCTGAACGAGCCAGCCCAGCCCAGCCCAGCCCAGCCCGCAAAGAGTGGAGCCACTGGCCTTCGGACTGAAACAGACTGGAGAAAATCAAAACCATTCCTCAGGACTCGGCTCACTACTTATTTGAGCCATTTTCTCAATGAGGTGCGACAAATGAAAATATTTGAAAAGATTCATGGAAGCGACTCCACTTGGAAGCCCTGTTTTTGGAGGACACCTCGAGGCTATCAGAGAGGGAGCACCTTTGCTCTCACTGCTCTTTCACAGCTCCTGCTCCATCAGCGCCTCGCCCCGTCGCGTGGAAGAGGAGTAAAGCTCTCCAGGGCACGATCCCCAAAGGCTCACGTCCTTCGGGGACAGCCCAGGTGCCCCCGTCTTGAAATACTTGTCCCTTAGAAACCAAGTGTGGCTGCTCTGGGGTGTCCAGTCTGTATCGGCTCAGAGCGCCTCTCTGAATGTGGAGATCCGGTCTACCAGGCCTGCCCTGCGCAGGTCTGTCTCCCTTGTAACTTGAGAAGCATCAGTAACCTTCTCCATGGAGATCAAACACTTAAAACCGGAGACACACTGAAAGAAAGCACCCGCAGTTTTACAGCTGAGTTGTTGGCTTCACATTTGAACTCGCACCGAACAGCCAGGATCAAGCAGGCGTGACGGCCCAACAGCAGTTCCGTGGAGCAGGTTGTGTCCGCAGCTGATCCAGTTAAAGCAAGAGCTACACTGCCGATGAGAGAGAAACAAGCCAATCCAAGCGCAGGGACCACTGATCTAGGCTGGCACCAGCAGGGCTAGGCCTTTCTATCCCAGACACCCCAGGGTGGGACTTTAAAGGAACCTCAATTCATCTCAAGAAGCCTGATCCCCGTGACTGGTGTGTGCCTCGCTGTTTGTCACAGTCAACGTGTTTCCTGCGGGAAGAACAACAGTAGCGTGCAGACAAACAGAACTGAAATTTCAAGTGCCTGTGAGACTGTGCAATTCACTGAACTCTGAAGCAGACATCTGGCCCACGCACGCACAGGGGAATTTACGACGGAGTTTACAGTGCTTTGGCTGCTTTGTAAAAGGATCCAAGGAGCTGCGCGCACACCTGGGCTTCCTGGTCAAACCCAGCCTTTGCAAAGGAATCGAAATGCCTCCCATCTGAAACTCGAGAATGAGGGAGGTGCCCGCCCCCCCTCAGCCCCCTCTGCCGCCCCAGCAGACTATACATTTCTCCTGGGGGGAGCTCCTCGCCCTCCATGAGCACTGTCACAGCCTACTGCCCGGCAGCAAGCTGGAACTATACAAGATTAATAATAATAATTGCTTACGCCCCATGACACACAGATCGGGGGAGGAGAGAAACTGTACAAGACCAGAGTGGGGTTCAGTCCTCCTGCAGCCCCACGACACACAGATCAGGGGAGGAGAGAGAAACTGTACAAGACCAGAGTGGGGTTCAGTCCTCCTGCAGCCCCACGACACACAGATCAGGGGAGGAGAGAGAAACTGTACAAGACCAGAGTGGGGTTCAGCCAGGACACTGGGGTGACACCCCTACTTTTACAAACAGCCCTGGGATCTGTATTGACCAAGCAGTACAGACCTCAGTTTAAGGTCTCATTTGATGGACAGGGCATCAGTCCCCAGTCATCATACTGGAGCAATTGATTGGAGACTGTGGTGCAAAGGGAAGAGTGCCACCTACTGGTCCACAAACAATTGACAGCACCAGCCTGCTTTTAACAAGTCCCAGCCTTGCTTAGCTTTCCAGATCCAAAAAGATCAGGAGAGTGTCAGTAAGCCACACAACAAGGTCACCAGAACCCTCCGAGGGGGGATTCTGCTCAGAAATGCAGCAGCCAAGGAGACTATGAGACTGTTTCTTTAAGCTTGGAACAGGAAAAAGCTGCTCGTTTCCTGCTCTGCACCCACTATTGCCCAATGACGCAGTACAGTAAAAGGCAATTCTGCCCCTGAAAATTAACAAGCTGGGAAAAAGCATTGATGCAAAGGAAGGGTAACACACCCGTGCAATATTTACGGAATGCAAAACCCTGATAAATGATAAATGAACACTGATAAATGTCATGCAGAGATCACTGGGCCTGTGTCAGAGGTCTGAGCACAGGAACTGATAAAAGCCTGCAGTGCAAACTGCTCCTCTGAGGTCAGCATACAAACAGCCAGCAACCCCACCATGACAGATACAAATGGCTCTAGCTCACCTCACTGGGACACACAGACAACACAAACTGTAATGCTACAGCACCCTAGAAAGGTGGGTATCTGACCAGGTTACAGGACAGCAGACGCAGTAACCACAGCCTGGCCACAGAAATCAGGGGAAACAGACAGACCGGGCAACCCAGAGAGGACAGGCTTAATGACCACAGCCTCAACATAGAAACTGGACACAGGCAGACCTGACTGTCCAGAGAGGACAGGCAGTGATCCCACTGCCAACAAAGAGAGGCAGAGCCAGAGATGCCCTTTCTGAGGCACCGTGAGAAATACTCTTGGATTACACAATCTTTCCTAAAATCATCTAATCCCAGAATCTGAATTCTTGCCAGAACCACAACAGTTTCCAATCCTACTGGGGGAGGAAACTCAATAGAGCTGCAGACAGTGAATCTTCAAAAAAATGATCATGGATTCGCAAACGTCTATAATACCTTTAGTATAAGCGTTTATAATTGCTCTCGCTTGCTGTTACAGCTTTGCCAAGTGTTTGAAATGTCATTGTACAAGCTCCCACTTCCCTGGTGAGAGCAGCAGTGCTTGTCCCATTTCTCATGTCCTGCACACGGCTATGGAGGCCTTTAAACAGGAGAAAGAGAGAGCTGTTTTCCAGAACACAAATCCCACACTCCTGAGAGCATGGAGCACGAGCTATGAGCTAATCTCCCTGCCATG